CTCCCCAATACCAGAAACCCCCCACACCCACAAACACACACACTAACACACGCGAACACACACATACGCACGTCTGCAGCCTCATGAACATTTGAACAGTTTCCCTTTGATTATGGGCACAATTCAGATCCCTTTGGCCAAAAAGGCAGAAACCCCTCGTATGACACCCCCCCCCCCCCCCTCCTTTATAGATGCACAGGATAAAAACATAACCCCCTCCCTGCAAAGGCAATCAGAGCCACCCCTGCACGTCCATCAAAACAGCACGGGGGAAGGGCGGGGGGGCAACATCTATAACCATAAGAAGCGTTTCAACAATCAAATCCTTCTTTTCTTCTTTTACCAAAACGCGCTGGTCATTTGACCCCCGGCGTGGTGCGTTCACTGGTCTTTGTGTGTCCCCGATGGGCCCAGCGTGATCTCCAACGAGTGCCGTCTTTAATTATGGCCAGTTGACAGTTTGAGGGGAGTGCGTGGAAGCGGGAGGGGTCTTACAACACAGATGGGGGAAGCGTTACTCATGCAGACACACTATGTGTACGGGGCTCTGATCACTGGCCTCCCCGGGTCCACAGAGGTTAATCAAAATGCCAAATGCCACTGTGCACCGTGCCGGAGAGAGCTATACTGAGCCTGTTCCTGCACAAGACACCGTTCCAACATGAGAAACTGAATCATTCAGGCAACCGAATAGCCCGTACCGTTTATAGCAGGCGCAGACTCAGGCGCATGCACGCTGCTTCTTCAGACCGCGATGATATCCCGTTTAATCATTTGGCTAATGGAGTAATTCTGGATGCGGGGTGCCGGTGAATGTGTGTGTGTGGGTGCAGGTGTCCTGCAGGGCACACGTGTGTGCGAGACAGATGGTGACAGATACAATACAAAAAGTGAGGACGACGAGACTGAGACACAGACGCAGAGAGGGGACAGGGGCCCACCTGTTTGACACAGAGAGCCTGAGAAAGTACAGAGGAATGAGCAGAATGCCAGTGTGTGTGTCCATTAGGTTATGGTCCACATAGTGCAAATGTGTGTGTGTGTGTGTGTGTCATCCAACTGATCATACTAGGAGAGGTGTGGAGAATGGCATTCGCAGAACGGTATGCAGAAAAGCAGCTGATTTATACATGTCACACACACACAAACTATTAAAATCATTTGGCCAAGAAAAGGTTCTGAGAAAGATCCACACATGCAGACATTAGGTACAGAGAGTGACCCACGGTTCCTCTGTAAGCTGCTTCTGTGCGTGTGTGAGCGGAGAGGGCGGCGTGAAGGAAAAGTGGGAGAAACTGGAGCATGTGTGAACCAGAGAGTGATGCTAAAGAAACAAACTAAAATAACCAAGCGTGTGTCAGAGCAAGTTCAAGTGGAAAAAGGACATCTGGGGATTCATTTGGCTTCGACACCAACTGAAACAGGCATCGTACTTTTCTTACTTCTACTCAAAAGTCTGAAAAGTCATGGGTGGATCGGACCTAGATGTCGGCCAGTACGTAGCACGTAGCAAGGGGATCGTAAACTTCTCCTTTTTAAGTGCACCAATGCTAGGAGGCATAACCGTGGTTTATCGGGATGACAGCGTGCGCGGCGGCGACCACGACGCCACCGAAGAGCAGGGAGATGTGCGCTCCGACTCCCAGAGAACCCGCGAATGACGTTAGGCCGGTGGTTTCGCCCGTGCTGGCGTGTCCGTGCGTAACACTGGCAAACGTGGAAAAAAGGTCAAAGGGGAGCGGGACCCCGATGCAGAGCAGCACATGTGATTTATGGGGGAAATAAATGGGATCACGGTAGGCGCGGTAACGGGATCCTTGAAGGAGCAGGGAGGATTAGTCTGCGGTGGTAATGGTCTCCATGGTATTCGGTTTAGGAGGGCGGGGGGTATTTTGGTAAGCTGCCACTGTAAAAGAGACACCCCTACAACACAAGATCTGCGTGTGTGTGTGTGTGCGTGCGTGCGTGTCTGTAAGTGTGCGTGTGCTTGTTTCATGGCTTACACAAACAGGGGACGATCTGAGCAGTAAAACTAGAGTGTGCGATGGACGAATCCACTTTCTAAACACTAACGAGAGGAAGGAGAGAGCGTTTAGTTGGAAATCAAACGCAGTGGTGTGAATGAGTGACGACGTGTCGCCGCAGGTACCCGGGAGAATCTTCATAGAACCAACATTTTTTGTCATATTTGTTGCAAAATGTCTCTGCAACCCGACCCGACACTAGGCTGGTTCCTCGGCCTCCCCCTATATCTTCTAAAAGGCATCTGGAAGATTCTTCAGCAGCTTCGGTAAACCCTCTCGGCTTACAGCCAACATATGTATCCAAGAACCTCCGACGGGGGGAAAGAGGCAATACAGTAACCGTGTGACACCAAACCAGAGACAGGATTTTATCAGCTCCAACGTGACGATTTCACCTTCAGCCTTGACGGACACAATGTAAACAGTTCAGATGATCAACAGCATCACCATAAACCACGGATTTGGACTATAAAATAAAGACAAATTTAAAATGTCTCTCCAACACAACTCGAGATGTCCTTTAGACGGCAATGACTTCCATGGGAATGGTCACACTACCTCGGCACAACTTCTATTATAAGGGTTTTGTGTCTTAACTGTCACATGAAGTAAGCGGTCAAGCTTCTGGTTACTGGCGTTTTAAAGTTTCATTTCCAAAAATATGTGGTGTCACTTTCATCTCCAAGTGTGTTTTGAATACAGGGGAGATCTGCATTTAACGGCTACTAATCCCTGCTAAATTCAAATAGTTAGTTGGCTAAACTATTTAACCAATAAAAGAGCAACAATACTTTATCCAGTAAAAAAATAGTCAGATGTGTTTGATTTGTTTGCTAGCTTAACTCGAATTTTTACATTCAGAAGAACTTGCATGTGACCGTTTAGTTCAGACCTAGAACACATTTATACAGATGCCTGCAGTCTGCAAGGTGCTGCGCAGTACTTGGCTTAAAAAGTCACGAGGCATATTAGCAGAATGGCGAAGACAGCGCCGGAGAGAAAGAAGAACAGAGCGAGTGGGGTAGAGAGACGGCGAGGGAGGAAAGGAACCCGAGCGAGATGGAGACCTAAAGCGCTCCAGAAGCCCGTCACATGGGGCTCCAAGGAGCTCGGCTCAGCACTCTTCCCCTCTGTGTTCGGCCCGCTCCTGACATTTATGTGCTTTATTAGATTATCTGGGCTACATGGCTGTCTCTGTGCACACACACACACACACACACACACACATCTAGATTCATTACAGCCCGAACTGCTTACTTGGGTTTACGCCGTCTTTAAATTAAACCCCAGATAACAGAGTCCCTAAGAACCCCCCCCCCCCCCCCCCCAACGGGGAAAGGGCAAGCTGAAGCCGCCCAGCGGCAGGGAAATTAAGAAACACTGTTTGTGAGCGTATTAGCATGCGTGTGAGTGGTCATAAGGCTTAGCTTTTTAAAACAGGCTCATCTATAAGGACTCTGCTTCCCATCATTAGTAATTCAATTTGCTCTTTATTAGCAGCTCTTATCGGCGGCGCAGACAGCTACGGGCGGCTTTCCTCACTCCATCTCCCCCTGCACTCCCCCCTCCCCCCCACCTGCTCCACCGTGTCTCTGATTCAGAGTCACCGTTTTTAATTAGAGATGCTGGCGTTCAGGGCATTCAGGGCTCCCACGAACGTTAAAAAGTACGTGGAGGACTGCTCATGCAGTGGAAAGGGAGGGGTGGAGGGGCGAGGGGGGGGGGGGCGTGGGTGGTGTGGGAGAGGACGCAAAGAGTTAAACAACCGGAAAAAGAGAGGCCGACCGATGGACGCAGAGCCACTGGGACGAATAAAGCCTAATGTTGATAGTGATGGCTTTCCTAATGTCTTCTGACTTCACTGCGTAGGGGAGATTACAACAAGATGGGCATGAGGCGTGTAGGGTACATGCAGAATGACCGGGGGGCTGGAGGGGCAAGGGAGAGAGGGCTGTTAAAAATAAATAAATAAAAAAGAGGAAAAACAATGATTGCTTTCCATCAGGTCGGGCCAATATTCTACAGTTCGTTAAAACAATCCAATTTGCAAAAGGATAATTATTGCATTAGCTCCTTTTTATCTAGCGGAGGGAGAGCAGTGCCGGGGCTTGATAGCAGCGGCGCTGCCGGCCTCTTCCTCTGCAAATTACCCGCTATCGGCACTTGTTCGCCATCACGGCTGAATTGGGCAATTAATTAACTCCCCCCTCTCCTCCTACTGAGCCTTTAAAAGAAATCCATGGATGTCAGCGTCTGCCCTCTACTGGAGATTCAGAGCCATATGAGGGTTCTCACTGGGAAAATTAAAGATTAAAGTACACGCCAAAAATCTGTAAGCAGGAAAAGAAAAGAAATATTTCAGTGTGCTTCTTTTCTTTTACAATACGCAGCAGTGTTTCCCCTATTATTATATTGGGGGGGGGGGGGGGGGCAGGTCCCCTGCACAAACTGGTGAGCACACTCACAAAAATGATGATAGAGGATAATGAAATGATGTTTTGACGGTGTAAGATTTACAGAGGTTGACAATATATCTATATATATATATATATACACACACACACACACATTGTATATCAATATATCGTGAATTTGGTTGCGACTTCAGAGAACGATACAAAGTTAAAACTAGCTGTCGTAGCACCACCAGGTGGCCGTACGGTGTAATTATTATGGACTAAGTAGTGGGTGAGAATTCAAACCTTTCTAGTTCAGCTGTATGGCTGCTCAGTGAGGGGGAGCAGAAGGGGTACTAAAAATAGATCCATCCAAAATATCCACCCAATCCCGTCATTAATAAGGCCACAGACAACACAGCAGTCACTAGCCAGGTTAGCCGTGAGGTTATTTTCCCCGGATGTGCGTCCGGGTCACAGCTCATTTAGAGCACTGTGAAGAACTGTGTAGAATAAATGCTCTTGGTGAAATCGAGCAGAACAACACTGTACTCTACAGTCTGGAGTGCGCGTTTCTTACTTGTCCTCGATGAGATGGGGGAGAGCCGCCTCAACTTGTGTCGTCCAAAAGACACGAGCTCCCTGCAGGGGCTCCTCCTCACTACAACGGGACTCCTGCTCGAGCTGTGCGTCCGGCCGCGCGGCGAGTACTTCATCTCTGACCCACTCACGCTGTAGCCAACGGCAAAGGAGAACAGCACAATGAGTGACACACAAGACGCTGCGGTGTAGAAATTCGCAATGAGAGAAAAAAAAACAATTTAATTACAGCATTCCCGCAACATTTGCTGCCACCATGGAGGAAAAAGTTTGCACCAAAAGGGCGACAAGAGAATGGACGCAGAGCAGATCGTGTCCAGGTTTCCCCTACTTACCCGGGAGCAGACTTCCTAATGATTTTCATCCTGCTGCGGAGCTTGAACCCAGACGGGGAGGAGGACGGCATAAGGTGGGGACGCTGGGGACGTTGGGCTACGGAGGGGGAGACAGCATGCCCTCCTTTCGCTCCTTTGTTGCTCTTTTCTGATGTCCAGTGGAAGGCAGACCGTCGTCGGGCCCCTGTTGCCCCTCCCATCGCTGCCCCAGAGGTGCTCTGTCCACCGGCCTTCCAGCGGTAGCGGCTTATCGGCGGGGAGTTGGCAGACGAACCCCCGACTCCCTTTTTCGTCTTATCTTCTGCTCGGAGTTTCTTGGTAACCTCTATCTTCTCCAGGGCCCTTTGGGAGAGAGTCAGAGCTTTGGGCGATATTGACTTTCGAGGTACTCTACCTTGGGCTCCAGCAGAGATGGAGACCCATGTGTACTTGGAGGTCTTGGGGGTTGAATTGAGCGGGCCGGGCTTTCGGTGGACCTTCTTGCCAGGCGTTCTCTTCCCTGTCAAAAAGGGGGAGCTTCCACTGGCAACTCCAGCTTTGGGGACTGACGTTAGGGCAACAGTCACAGCTTTGCCTGTGGGCGAGGAACCGTGGCCGCTTTGTTTGGGCCCCACTCCTCTTACGTTCTGGCTCTTCACCCACGTGAATTTAGATTTCTTCAAAAAAGAGACATCGCTACGGCTGGTGCCAGATGCGAGGTCGATTGAATGTTTGGATAAGTTAGGCGGAGCAGCGAGGGTTGCTAGGGTGTTAGCATTAGGAGCCGCTGGAGTTGTCTTAGTGATCGTTGGTTTAGTCTCGGTGCTGGATTCGCATGTCGTGGTAGGTTCGGTATTTGCTTGAGGGATTCCCTGCAAACCAGTCGAGGCGTTGGAAGAGGACGGCATTTCTTTCTTTTCGGGTGGGACACGTCTGCAGTCGGTCCTCGCCTGCAGATCAGTCGTTTCACGTTGCTCACTCGTGCCTGTGGATCTTGCCTCTCCCTGCAGAGACACAGCGGATCCTAGTTTTCCAAGAGTATCCGTGTTTGTTTTCTCAGCTGCTCCTCCCGCTCTGCTACTGTTAGCATGCTGCCCCTGAGGGATTCCGGACGATAAGACGGCAGCTCTGATTCTTTGCCTCTCCTCTCCTTGGCTGTGGGATACACTGTGGGAACTGGACGGGTGTACAGCAGAGGAAGCAGAAGCTGAGACATGTCCAATAGATTGGTGGGGCTTCTTGTTGCTCAGCGAGTACGTTTCCCTCCAACTCCCACGGCCGCGAGGAGCATACAGTCCTCCTCTGGAGCTGTGAGGATGGACGACAGATGTGCTGCGACCTCTGCCCCTGGATGCCGCCGCCGCCGGTTCCGGATGCCGCTGCTCATCTCTTGCAAACGGGGTGTCGCCATGGACACTCTTATGGTTATCGATGAGGTCTGGGAATTTGAAAATAGGATTGTTAAGTCGCACCAAGAGCAAGATAAACAAAAACAAGGAAATATGAATAATGTAAAAGAGTTGATTCAGCCAACAGAACCCTTTGTGCCACTTTCGTTTAGATATATTTTGATTGCATCATTTTCCAGATGACAGATTTAAAAGAAATCCCACAAAAATGTCAGTTCGCAGAAACATCTTTCTGAAGAATGCTGCGCTTTAGTCCAGAGTTCCTGGCTCTTGTATGGTCTATGTGTAGATTTTACTCAAGCTGCTTTGGCGGATTGTCGTGGAGCAACACCTGGTTGTTGTTGTTGTTGTTGTTGTTGTTTGGTACCCACCAATGCGGTGTAATCAACATACAGCATAAAGCGTTAGCTAGATAGCGCACAATTGAATGAAAAACAATTTTCGACCTAATTTGTTCTTGCTCTAAATACAGTCTGGCGAGGGTGACGTTAGATAAATTCACCAACGCCTCCCGTGCGAGGTTAACCCGGAGCCAAAGCTAACGGTTGATTCTTTTTTTCATTCGTTAAAGTTACTTCAGAGCGACGCGACAGCTATGACATTTGATAGACAAGCAATTCAAAAAACGCTTCGCTTAGCTGCGTGGTACCAAACAATACAAAAGGGAGTGTACAGGGGCATTTACTTTGTAGAAGTTGAATTTGTCTCTTCAGTGCTTCTCTCTCCTCCATGTTTACAACCGAAACGTTTCGTCATCAAACTGCGACAAAACAGGCCTTTACCGATGATGTATTTCTCCCGTCCAATCACAGCACACGTTCGAGTGAGCGTGGCTATTTTAGTCCTCAGTCTTGCCTTGCAGGTGAGCATTCGATCGACTGAAAAATGTCGTATGATAGTCATTCACCCATCTTCATCCATCATTAGAGGGTCGCGGAGGCAGGAATCATTCCCAGCTGGCTGGTGTAAATGTGAATATAAATAAAATTGTCCTTGCTTTTATTGGACGTAATAGAATGAGGGACAATTGATGTTTGTCCCAGCAAATAGACAATGTTAAGGAAACGATCATCAATGATGAAGTGTAAAATATTAATAACGGAGACAATAAATTCCGAAATAAATAATCTTCAAAGATTAGCAACAAAAAAAAAAAAAAAATAAAAGTATGTCAATTTCTACTATGATTATTAATATATTAGTTGTACAATTATTTTGTTTCATTTTTTAGATTATGTTTATTAACACAAATGATTTCTCTGTTAATCCAAACAAGACCAAGGTGCCACAATGCCACACATATCTGCGAGTCCCACTAACACATTATATATAGTTCAAGTCCTATATATGATCATGGTGTCAGAAGTGGGATGTGACCTGAAAAGCATTGTTAAAGCTAATGTTGTTCATGTTTGTTAAAGTAGCAAAAATCTGAAAGGGTTTATGATTGAATAATGTTGAAAAACATGAAAGGTGGAATGTTGAAAGTGAAGAGTTCCGCTCTATTTGAGGTTATGAGAATAACACAAAACAGTTTGAGTTAAATACCTGTGTTATTGTGTTGAGAGAAAAATTCAAGAGGAGTGAAAGAAAATGAATCACTGTTTTCTTAACGCGTTGTATTATTTAGTCATGCATCTTCTTAGACAGTGTCTTGAAGTCAGAAAGGGGGATGTAGTATTAGTTGGAATACGTGGAAGGAACCTTACGTATATAATCAATGTTTCCTGAGGTGTGGGTTAATGAAAGAGCAGGATTCTTAGGAAGCCGAACATATATACATCATGTGTTAGGGTGACTCGCAGACATGTGCGGCCTCGTAAGAATCCTGTATATATATGGGCCAACTGAACACTTACTTTCAGGTCCTCTCTTGGACCCTCAACACCTCATCCCTGGTAAAGAAAGCACACCAGCGTCTCTTCTTCCTGAGGAGACCGAAGAAGGCCCATCTGTCTCCTCAGATTCTAGAGAATTTCTACCGCTGTACCATAGAGAGCATCCTTACAAACTGCATCTCAGTATGGTACGGCAGCTGCTCTGTCGCGGACCGTGAATCACTGCAGAGGGTGGTGAAAACTGCCCAACGCATCACCGGTTCCTCACTCCCCACCACTGAGGCTGTCCAGAGCAAGAGATGTCTGCGGAGGGCACGCAGCATTGAAAAGGACAGCTCTCACCCCAGCCACAGACTGTTGGCCCTCCTCCCCTCTGGGAGGCGCTACAGGGTGCTCCGTTTCCGGACCAGCAGGTTCAGGAACAGCTTCATCCCTGCGGGTGTCATTCTACTGAACTCTGCCCCCCACCCCCACACACATCTCCCTCGGTGACTGTACTTCCCCCCTCCACCCTGGCTTGACTGCCACACACCTTCCTCCAGCCACTGAACATTTGCACTGTTATTGCATATCCATTTCTTACTGTTCATATTGCATAACTATTTCTTACGGTCTTCTTTCTGTTCCCAGAGTTAGAACCAAACATGGACGAGCGGCGTTCAGTTTTTCTGCTCCACATAACTGATGCAAACTTCCAGAAAGGTACAAGTCTGCTGAGACGCTCAGCTGCTTCACACACATCTTTTTGCTGCTGCCTGAACCAAATTTGAGAGTTTTGTTTTTTCGAAACTTACACAATAACAAACACATTTACAGTGTGCTTGATCGAGATGACAAAGTGATAGATCAGCTAAATTCCACTACACAAATAAAGCTCGCAGTTCGCAAAGGGAAGGCGTCGCTTTTACAAACATCACACCTCACAAAACAGGATGGGAACACAACATCACGTGGACAGGCCTTCTTACCGGTTGTCTGTCAGTCCGCCCTCAGGGCTTAAAAACCCCGCGCGCCTTCAAGCGACGCTGTCAACTGATTTCAAAACAGCAACGTCACAAAATGTGTTCTTGACATCGATGAAGTTCCTCGTTGAAGTACTTCCAAGTATTGCCAAGAAGTTGTTTCGCTGATTCACAACAACAATAACAACAACAACAACAACAACAACAACTACAGCAAACTGTCATCTTTCTCGAGACAAGTGTGAATGCCGATGACGCCGCGGTGAAATGAAATGAAAGGGGAAGTGAAACTAAAGGCGACGGGTTACGACGCAAACGGAGAAGCTCGGAGACAACACGTAAAACAATTGTAAAAGGTGCCGCACTCTTAAGGGTAAGATCGTCTTCGTCATATGTTGGAGGGGATAAAGAAAAGAGCGATCTTTGAAAAAGAGTCGTGACGTTACAAGTAACGTTAGCTAGGTGTTTACGTCAGTTAACGACAGCCGTTAGTTCAGTCCTGTAGCACGTTAGCATAAATGTTTTCTACAAACATATGATACTCGCATTGCTGTTGTAGTAGTACCTGTGTACACTTGTGTGTGTGTGTCTGTGTGTGTGTGTAATTGTGCGTTTCTGTACAGTACCCCTGTCAGAATGACGTCACCAAACAACCTGTACTTCATCTTAACAAGAACGTCCGAATGCCGGGTCGGCTCTGCTGGCTGCATCTGCTACATGAGTGAAGCCAAGCACAGATCACTGACGAGAAGATCGCCGCCTCCCACGAAGTTGCCCGTCTGCTTCTGGGGCTCAAGTCTTTTTCTGGATTATGACATAGAGGTGAGCAGCCTGGGAGAGCTGAGTGCAGAGGAAGCCGAGCTGCTGCAGGCCCTGCCCGACAAACAGGAGAGGCTGCACTGGTTCCAAGAGAGAGAAGTCCTGCAGGCGGCCCGTGGACTCACCGTGGGCAGCGCCGTGACAGTCCTCCAAGGAAAAGAGAGGCTGAGAGGCATCGTTCGCTTCGTCGGAAGAATCCCAATCTCGTATTCCTCTCCTCCGCCGGGCTGGTTCTTTGGCATTGAGCTGCAGGTGGGACTTTAAAAGTGTTCGTGCATCAAAAGGATTTCCTCCTCTGAAAACCCTTCCCCTTCCCCTAACCCAACACAAGGTGTTTAAATGCGTGGTGCTATGCTTCCACCCCCTCAGGGAGAAGACCGGGGGAAGGGGGATACTGATGGGATCTGCCAGAATAAAACCATTTTCCCCTGTGCGAAAGATTGTGGCGTTTTTGCCGAGTTCCACCGGGTCAGGCCTGTGGCACCCAGCTCCTTGTCCCCCTCCAGCCGGAAGCACTCCGAAACAGACGAGGTGGCTCCAGGAGACCGAGTCACTTACTTCGTCGAGGATAAGTGCCAGCATGGAATGGTGTTGCATGTGAAGGAAAAGGACGGAGAACATTGTGTTCGGATCTCCACAGTAAGTAATCCATCTGTTTATTGTCAGGTTGCAAAAATTCAATCCACAAAAACAAAAAAGAAAGCATAATAAATAGTGTATTTGTTCTAGTAAATTATGCAGCCATTCTTGTATTTAACATCTACCAGTGGTATGGGGTGATTCCAGAAATGTGACCAAATATTTATTTATTTTTAGCAATTCTAAACTGTTTTTGGTCTATCAGCCTCCAGTTGCAGTTCCTATCCTCCAGTTCTCTTAATAAAACCTCAGGTTTAATGTTACCCACTTCCTTCAGTACATTGATAAATGGTCTTGTTGGTGTTTTCAGGACTCAAATGACGAAGTTGATGTTCCACTGGATTACGTGGCTAAGGGGGAGGTGACCCCAGGTTTGAGCCACTCATTACATGATGGCGTGTGAAGCCATTTCCAACATTTGTAAGAAATCTGACTTTCCCGTTTACTGTTGTTTACCGTTTAACGCCAGAGAGCAAGGACACTGAAACCACTCCAGTGGAAAAAGACTGTGCGGATCTGAGCCTAAACTCTGTGGTGGAGGTGACCTTGGCTAAGGGCACCTCTTATGGAATCATCCGCTGGATCGGCACTCCGCAGGGTTGTCCGGACACCATGGCTGGCCTCGAGCTGGTAAATCTGAACCGTGGCACTTTGTTGCTTTCCTTTGCTTTGTCCCTTTTAATTATCCACGGAGCTAATTCATATTTTGTCTGCATCCTTCTCCAGGACGAACCCGATGGAGTGAGTGATGGCACCTTCAAAGGCAAGCGTTTCTTTGATTGTGCCCCGAAGAAAGCACTGTTTGTGAAGCTTAGATCCTGCCGTCCTGACTCGCGATTTCAGAGTACAGCGGCTGATTGCAGCGAGAAGATGCTGGAATCGGACACCGCAGGTCAGAACAACACAGGTGAGCTCATTGAACTCGCCACTCTTGAGAAACTCCTAGTTCACCGTTTGATTAGTAGGTGTGAAGACGGGGTCCACAAACAATTGTCAATAAACAAAAAACCCTCATTGTATTTGAACCGTTTCTCTAACAACCACACAAGAGGCAACGCTGCATCGGCAGTCATCTTGGGCTGCGATTTGTCTGCTGTGTACTGTTTCATGGTTTAAGGTCTGTGGATTTACGTGCCTGTCACTTTCAGGGCACAGCACGGGGATGCTGGGGACCGTTCCTCCTGTCGGCACAGAGCAGGTCAGCCACATTCTGATTGGGCGAATGAAGGGGATCCAAGGCCACTACAACTCCTGCTACATGGATGCTGCCCTTTTCAGGTCAGGAGGATGAACATGTGACGGCAAATAGTGTTTATTCTGCTGATTGAATCCCAGTTATTGGAATGAATCACATGCACTCCGCATTGTCATAGGGCGTTGTCCGACTCCCGTCAATATGTTTCAGACGGCTTTTCATTGCTGTAGAATATGGAATTTGTCAGGCCGATTTGGAGCATACTGAAAAGAATAGAAAGTTAAAATGCAACAAAATGAAAGACTTTTTGCTGTTTTTCGAACATACTCCTGTACTTTCGTAACTCTTTCTTTTCTCTCCGTGCTTTCAGCTTGTTCTCCTGCTCCTCCGTGTTAGACGCCATGCTGTTTAAACCCACAGAACCGCAAGATGCCCCGATTCAAAGCACACTGCTCAACGACATCGTTAATCCCCTCCGCATGTGTGTGCTCTAATGCATTTCTCTAAACATTTAATCGTCTTTTGTGGTACTTCAATCATGCATACATACTGTGTGCGCGTGTTCTTTGCAGTAAGGGCTTTGTGGAAGGCCGGCACATCATGAAGCTACGGCAGCAGCTGCAGAGCCACGGCTACAGTAAATCCTTCACCACAGATGAGAAGGGTCCGTTTCACCTGGAAGTTTGGAAACAGCTGATGTTTTTTTTTGTTGTGGGGTTTGATGTGACTGTCAATGTGGTTTTTGTCTCTCAGATCCAGAGGAGTTTCTTACTGTCATCATGCACCACATTCTCGCACTGGATCCTCTACTGAAACTGTATTGTTCCACCACAGCTCAAATACTACCTCCTAACACACACTGCTTGAATACAGTACATCTTGTGGAGGATTCTGCATTCACGCCTAACGTTTTCTCGCCCTCCCCCGTTTAGCTCCATGGGCGGTAAAGTGCAGGAAAGTTACTGCTATCAGATCTTCTTAGACCAGAACCACAGCCTGGTGCTGCCCACCGTCCAGCAGCTGCTGGAGCATTCCTTCCACCATGCAGGACTGAAACTGGCCGAGGTGAGATTGCTACATCACTCTGTTGCATTTATGAATATGAGATGCTTTAGTATAACAAGTAATAATGGAAAAAAACCAATTAAAAACATTTTTTTTGGGTGGAAACATATTCCTAGATCTAACAGCCAGGGTTTATGCCACTGTGTGAGCGTCATTGTTGCTGATCTGTGTGACAAAGATGTATTCATCTGACTCTTTCCTTTGATTCTCCAGTAGATGTCTCTGTCGGACAGTTTTCTCAGCAGATCTTCTCATCTCCTGGAGTTAGTTCATTTTGGTGTTTTCGCTCAACCCAGTGTGTGATCTTGTTATTTCATCGTCTTTTAACTGCAGGTGCCTCCCTGCTTCATCCTCCAAATGCCTCGCTTTGGAAAGAAATTCAAGATGTTTGACAGGATCATTCCATCTCTGGAGCTGGACGTCACCAACCTTCTCTCTGAAGGTACTGTTAAACACACACACACACACACACACCTCTGCAACACACTGGGACTTACTTGGTCTAAAGCAGATGTTCACATGAGGAAGCTAACGTGCTGTGTTCTTCAGGTCCTCAGCAGTGCATGCTGTGTGGAGACTTGGCACAGGCAGAGTGCACCGACTGTTTTAAAGATCCCATATTCAGTCAGACGGGATTCAAAATCTTCTGCCAGAAGTGTTCGTCACAGGTGTGGTTTCTTCCGTTGTCCATGTACCATGTTATACCGCTTCACCAGCTTTGTAGAAGTATGAATTAAAGCTGAATTCTTAGGGAATCTGTTTCTATGCCTCTGTTTGTGCAGAAAGTATTCCCCACCCAGCAGACAGGGCTTCTTACAGTTTTTTATACATGTTTGCTGCTGAGGGGCGAGTGGGAATAGTGAGGAATGAGGCACACGGTGACATGCAAGCCGTCTATTGATAGATTGCAAGGTGTGGTATGTAATGCTGAACTGTAGCTGTGGCAAAAAAACATTTGGACAATTTCGTTAGATTTTCAAATAATCTATTAAGTCAAAATACATTTTTTTTAAATTATGAAAATAACCATTAGATTCCGCCCTGATCACTTTCTTATTGTTTTTTCCTATCCAGGTGCACGCTCATCCTCAACGCCGGTCCCATCAACCAGTTGCGCTGGACATCCCCAGGGGTTATATGAGTCACGGCATGACTCACACGCTCATCCGAGACAAGCTGGAGCTGTTCGCGGTGCTCTGCATCGAGACGAGCCACTACGTGTCTTTCATCAAGCACGGACCCAACAGCCAAGACTGGATCTTCTTTGACAGCATGGCAGACAGACAGGGCAAGTCCATTTTTTGCGTGTTTTATTTGTCTCATCACATGCACTATTTGCGTGTGCATTCAGTGGCTCATCTGTGCGTTGTCTTCAGGAGAGAAAGATGGATTCAACATCCCGGAGGTTCACGCCTGCCCCGAGGTTGGCATGTATCTGGAAATGTCTCCCATGGAGCTGGCCAATCAGGTGCCTCGGGACATGAAAGGTGTGGCCAAACGTCTCTTTTGTGACGCCTACATGTACCTGTATCAGAGCCCCAACATGTGTCTCTATCGCTGAGGGGACACCACCCCGTAGCTTGCTTACTGCATAACATGTAAACTGGAGAAGAATATCAGTTGCCTTTGCTGTTCATACAATAACCTTTGTGCAAAGGTATGTTTTTCTTAATGAATGTGGAAGTACACACATGAACATTCAAATCTTGTGTGTGTTGTTTTTTCATTTTTATTTAATATATAATTATGTGTGCATATATATCTATAGAGATATATATCTATTTAGATATCTATATAAAAAAATACAGGGAAGTAATTTTCAGGCTGATTTAAAACAATATGGTTTTCCTGTCTGTTCTGCTGTATGAAGAAAGAGTACAAGCTGACATTATTTTTCATTATCAAAATTGACAATCACTGACATGTGGGAGAAAATATAATTTATGTACTGTATTATGATTTTGTAGTTCACTGTTTCCTGGTGTTTTAAAGGTTATATTTACAATTTTTATACCGAGATGAAATGAGTGAAAAAAAAACACCAAAGAAGACACCATAATAATGATTTCGAGTGGCATTTTTAAAAATTGTGTCATTGCACACAATGATATTAATTTATAATTAGGTTTTCTAATCAGGGTTTAGTTGGCTTGACCAGTTCCTTTATAAAGTTAAGAAACACAATTCCTTTCAGTTTTCAACATGATAATGATTTCTTGTATGAAGTCCACACATTTTTTCTTTTCATATTCAGTTGGGAATGGAAAATCCAAAATTTGGTCAGTCATCACGCTAGGAAATACAAATGGCATTGCCTCAAACATTCATCGCATGAATCCCTTCTATGTTTCACTGCCGTATTGATGCACATGGCTCAACCTTGTATGAGCACCGCTGGTTCCAGATCCAGAAAAAAAATTGGTACGTTTTTGAACCCATTTTTTGTATTTGGGGAAAAAACGTCTTCGCACGAGATATGAATTGTAGCAGAATATTTTTGTAATATATACACATTTTTTTAAAGTTAAGGGGAACTTTAAAATGGCTGAATTTGTATTGTTGAAGGTCACAGCCTGAAGTTTGGTGAAAAATTGTGAGGAAGTGCTTCATCTGCCCAACTTTCCTAAGGTTGTCTGCACGAGGTGTCCCCCAGGGATCATTGATTGGTCCCCTGTTGTTCAGTTTGGACTTGCTTCTTCGCAACATTACCATCTAATATGCTGAAGACACAATGCTTTCTACTTGGATTCTCTCCCCTGAAAAGGGAGGCCAAACAGTTGAGTGTATCAGTAAATTAACTTAGCTGTCTATTAGCTACTTTACTTTATCGTTCATATTTGTCTTGGGAAAAGGTCCTCACAGGTCCTAAACCTTTGGCTTATCTTTGATCTGAGGCTTTGATTTCACTTACCTTTCATTTTCTGTTATTGTGTCATGTGACTTAACATGACTACAAATTGGAGAGAGCAATGTTGTAAGAATTTGTGGTGTTCAGAATGGATAGATTATTCTTATCTAAATTTAATTTGTCAATAAAACACAAAATTCCAGAACAAAACTAGATTTAGACACAAAACCATATAACAGGGTCCAGGTTTAAAAATATGGAGAATGTCCATTTTGAAAATTATATTTTGATTTTGATTAAATATAAAAGTCTGATGTCATTATATCAGTGCTCAGATCATTATTTTGTCAATTTAGAAAATCTAAATATTTCTGGCTATTCAGATGATCAGACCATGTACTCTCACACAAGCCTTTCGATTGTTGAATCTGTTGAATAAAAAATGTATCACTCCGTTTTTGATTCATCCTATCCAACCAATCATATACACATTACACTACAAATGTATGTACTACTATACATTTGTATAGTTTAAAAGAAAATGTGGTACTAGTACTTCTATGCATAAAGTTAGATCAAATATAATTTAAAGTGAAACATCAAGACGTAAAAAAATGTAAAGTCTTGTTCTTGAAGGCCATTGTTTCCCCTTGTGAGGGACTACGGTTAATAAGGCTAATCCCCAGTATCTGTAGTGAGGGATCTCTCCACATCCTAATGCTCTCAAAATAGTTCCACACCGACAAGCAAGAAGAATCGAATGCAGCCGTTAGAGAAACTGGCAACTCAAAACCGGGGAAACTTTCAGATGAAGCTAAAGCTCTTGAGAGTCGTGCCTTTTGTCACCAGGTGTCATATCCAAAGCTCTTTTTTATTTATTACTATGTCAAATGAATTAACATAAAGGACAGGACAGGTTCTTTTTTTCAGTGACTTATGGTTATTATTTCCGCCCATGTATCTTTAGGTGGAATACAGACTTCGCCCAAGGCAAATTTGTATGCACAATTCATGCATCTTGGCGCGTAATTGCTCTTCCTCTGTTCAGTCTGAGCTGTGTCTGAACTATATCCTTCGTGACACATGTCACTGCTCCCTTTAGTGTTCCCTTTTGAAACCAAGGCGGTGGAACATAAAACAAGATGGGATTCAAGTGTTTCGCGCACTTCAAAGGCGTACAGTCAGATTCACAACCTTGCTGGGGCGCGAAACGTCTGTTATACTTAAGGTACGACAAAACGCTGCCTTGTCAGCTTTCAAAGGGTGTGCTTCGGTGTCACACCAGCCTCGTGGAGGTCGGCCCGCGCGCCTCTCGCACCCCAGCGCTCACGTGACGTGAATACTCAGCGAGCCTTTTGCATTATAAAGTGTGCATCTCCCCGGCCCTCACGCTGTCCGCCTCATCTTTATTTCAAAAGATGCCGCAGTGGATATTTGTCTTCGTTCCGGATACTTTTGATCCCCCCCCCCCCCTTCGCTGTGGTCAGCTCTGGGGATGACCTCTACGCTTGTTAGGAGTGCTGTGCGGTGCGGTGCTCCATGATGAGGTGGGTTATTTCATATACCCGAGGGCTCGCCTGGCTACGTGGAGCAGAGCAGCCTTGTCTTAATATACGGCCCTGCAACCCCACCGAGCAGCATCCCTGTGATCCAACCGGCTCAGCATTTCCAAGCCGACTCATCATTAAGCAAAAAAAGAGAGAGAGAGAGAGCTGTGCTTGGCTGAGCGACATGGTTCAATTTATGGTTTGTTGGAGGAACATAGTGGCTGCATAACAAAACACACACAGCACGAAGCAGCAGTATATATTAACACGTAAAGGTTAACATGACACCTCAAGAGAAAGAGAGTCTGCTGTTATGCTGTCTCTGACACAATAAAACACATACAGTTTAGATGTCCCACTTATATGGAACAGGACTAATAAAGAAAGACAAAGACATATTAAAATGATTAAAAAAACAAAGAAAGGCCCATTAAAATTCCAAAACGTGCACATATAAAGATGAATTGATTAAAGACTGTGTCGTGCAAATGAGAGCAGACAAGCGCCCCCCGGCACACATTGGAAAGGTGCACTTGTAAAATACTAATGATACATTTGCTCCTCTGCTGCTCCCCATAAATTAGAAATACTGCTCTGTAATACATTGTTTGTTCTTGTTATCCATTTCAGATCTGAACACGTTCATCCGCACTCCGCACAGTCAGGAAGCTTCCAGTAGGAAGGGGAGTAAATACTATCCGTCTTGATGTTTGGGTGACGTCTTTCTGCTGTCGTCAATGCGGAGGGGCTTTGAGCTGTTCAGTTAAAGGTCCAGTGGATGATCAGCTCTGGAGAACTGCCTCATCCTATTTGATCCTTTTTCTGGAGTGAACGGGCCTCGTGTCACTTGTTCATCTCCGTGAGGTGTAATCCTTCAGAATAATGTTTGTTGTGCTCATTTATGACGGATTGATCTTGTGGTTGATTCCAAACTTTAATGACTGTTTTGCACATTGAATCAATAAATGCCTAATGCATAAAGGCTTTCCGGCAAAGCTTTACCATTTATGTGACTTTGTCGTAGCTAAAACACTAACATCCACAGAAAGGTTTGGTATCATTTTTAAGCGGTGCATCTGCAGTTTAATTCCATAACTGGTATGTTAATTATCCAGTAATGTAAGGCACGATATGAGATGAATAAATCACTTTTTTTTATTTTCACCACCATTCTTACTGTAAAGGAGCCTTGTGGGACAAAGCTAACCGTGGAATTGGCATCACAACAATCCCTCGACAGAAAGCCATTTGGATTTTTCAAAACAATTTAAGATTATTACAGAAAATAAAGTCGGTGGCAAACACATATTTATGGTTTAGGAAACATCCTTTTTTCATGCAGATAATCTTCACAAATGAACACCACTTTTTGTGCTTTCAGGGATCATTAACAGCCAAGGCTAAATTCACACAATAAAACCTAAATCCGTACCATCAGCTCATATTGACCACATTCTTTATTTCAGCCATTCATTCAGAAAATCCATTGACTTTGAAACGAGGGAAGCTGAAGGGCAAAACATTCCTGGGTGTGGTTTCAGGACTTATAGCTGCACCACTCTATCGAATGAGATTCACCCTTCTTTCTTTGGGAAGGAAGAAGGATATACATCTGCCGAAATATGCACTCTACTAATTAGACATTAGAAGTATTTTAAACCTAATTTAATTTATTTGAAAATTAGTATTTTTTACCTTAAATCAGAATTAGTTTTTTTTCTTCTCACAAAATAAATTCTTGATTGGGTATTTTTTTTAGTCTTCTCTCAGCTCTTTTCCAGGAACTGTAACTCGGATACATGAAAGAGTTCCTCTTCTCCCATGAGAGAAAGGCTTTTATTGCATCCCTCTCTCCCACATGAGAATTACAACTCCCATATAGCCATACAATATTTCAATTGTCAGGCATTAATGCTCATAAATGTCATAAAACCACACAAGAGGGGCTAATAGATTTGTCTACACTTTGTTTACAATGCTTTTTGTAGCATCACTTGATGTGGTGCTTTGGGTATCATTTGAGATTCGTATGTCATCACCACCCTGGCAGACTGTGATCACGACGAGCACAACGCTCCATTGGAAGTGTTCACAAAGGGGGCACCTGGCCAATATTAAATGTGCATAATTTAGCACCGTAAAGGTTAACTCCATCTCATTTGCAGCTTCAAAAAGAATTCTCCCAGAGTGGTTTATATTTCCTTGTTCTCCTTTATACTGCATCCACAAACGCCGGAGAGCTGAGACGTGTCACGGGAGTGACAATGACACATGAATGAGGAACTACGTGATTGAAAAAAGAAAAGAAGAAGAAGTTGGCTGCACAAAGCCTGTAAATGATTGATAATAAATCTTGCCTGTCTGTTGTCATGCTCAGAGAGAAGCTTCCTAGGGGGAAGCAGTTGATCCATCACAATAAACAGATGAGTTTAACCATAATGGCTCCATGAGAGATGGATTTTTGTGGGAAACCACTGATCAATTTCCCAACAGGCGGCAGGTCTTCTGTTAATATCCTACTTTATGTATTGCACATTTGGCAGCCACTGATTTGCAACCTTAATATTGGCACTTTGAGAAACATGCATTCACTTCCCCAAAGCTGCATTTATGTCTGCAGCAGAACCAAAGCTGCCACAAACATCTCTTCAAATCTACCACGCAGGGCAGAGTGAAGAACCTGCATGCTGACACAAGTAGAAACCTTTTAGCCTTCACATCATAACTAGAAACAATAACAATGCGCTTTATTTGCTACCATCGACAGCATAACAAACCCTCTCTGGGACTCTCTGGCACAGCACTTAACTGGTTTGAATCCTACTTGAAAGACGAGAATACTTTTTGTCTGTAGATAATTACACAGCAGAGCTGAAAAAATTACATCTGGTGTTCCCCAAGGTTCAATACTGTGGCCCCTTCTGTTCAACATCTGCATGTTTCCATTAGCTCAGATTATGGAAAACAACAAAGTGTGTAATTAAAGGTATGTAGATGACTCACAAATCTACATAACTATATCACCTGGAGACTACAATCCAATACACGGGCTGGTTAAATGCATTGAACAAATCACCAACTGGATGTGTCAAAACCTTTTTGTGTTAAACAACGATTAAACTGAAGTAATGGTTTTTGGTAACGAGGATGAACAATTGAAAGTCAGTGCTGAGCTTCAATCACTGATGTTAAAAACCACAAACCAAGCAATAAATCGGGGAGTAATTATGGATCTAGACGCCAACCTGGACAACCACATAAAGACAGTTACAAAATCATCCTACTATCAAAAATATATCAAGGATAAGAGGACTTATGTCCCTACAAGGTTTGAAAAAACTTCCACATCCATGCATTTATCTTCAGTTGACTCGACTGCTGTAAAAAGTTAATCAGAAAGCTGCATCTCGAGTCCTCACCAGGAACAGGAAACTTCTCAGGTCTTTACATGGGCTTCCTGTCCAACAAAGAATTGACTTCAGAATCCGGCTGTTGGTTTACAAAGCACTGAATAGTTCAGGGCCTGATGCCTTATGAACCTTTAGGTTATCTGGGACTGGTCTACTTTCTGTTCCCAGAGTCAAAACTAAACATGGAAAAGCAGCGTTCAGCTTCTCTGCTCCACATATCTGGAACAAAGTATCAGCAAGCTTCAGGTCCGCCGAGTCCCTCAGCTCCTTTAAATCCAGATTAAAGTATTTTCTGTTTGTGCTGTCTTTAATAAAACATTTTGAAATTTCACATTTTATACTATTTTTTAACGTTGTCTTTGTTTTTAAATCTCCTTTCTTTATGTTTGGATATTTTTTTAATGGTTTTATGTGAAGCACTTTTAATTGCCTTGTTATTTAAATGTGCTACGCAGCTGAATTTGCCTTGACTTGCCTTCAGACATCACGTCTGGCTGC